CTATCTCCCACATTCCACAAGGAAGTGAGAAATTATCCAGATGGGCAAATGAAGGGTCAACACTAGGGTGAAGCATAGTATTGAACAAGGCATTTGCCTTCTGGTGGTTCAAGGGCACCCTGCCCTCCTGTGCACTATTCATGGCTGCCCTTCTCATTCTCTGAGGGCTGGGAAACATGGTTCTGACCCTTCATAAGACCATGGAGCTACGCCTGGGTCACTTGCCCAGGCCAGAGAGTTACTCTTAAGCCTGGCACAGACTACGCCCTAAACGTGTTTGTAACAATTGATGAAAGAAGGGTAGAAGGGAAGAAGAACAAGAAATGAGAGGGAGGAAGAAGGAGGGAAGGAGGGAAGAAGACTCCTTCCACTAATGAGCTCTGGTCTGGGCTTATAGCCAAACTGGACCAGCCATTTTCCTGCTATGGGCAATGAGTGTGGGTAATTGTCAGCTTTAGACTTACTCATCCTTTCTCAGGGCTGTGTGCAAAGTGGAGGGTTTCACCTGCCCAGCGGGTACTGAATTATAGCTCTGGAGCTGGGCTCTGTGTAATTAACCAGAGCACGGCGCCCTGGGGACCCTGTGAAGCTACAGAGTGTACAGGTGCACAGGGCATGAAACGGGGTGCCTACTAATTACCCTTGGCCTGGTTTCCACAGTTCCCGGCACTGGGCCATCTTCCTCCTTGGGGGCTGGCTGTGTGCTGGTTGTGGGGTTCGTTGCCAGGGATCATTGAAAAGAACCTGGGACCAGAGAAGCAGAATTTGTGGGCACATTTGAGGATGCACATAGTTTGGGAGGAGAAACCAGCTTCACTCTCAAAAGGACACAGTTTTCTCCAGCCCTGGCTCCATCTCTGTTCGTCACATATGGCTACAGACACATTCTGTGCATCGTCACTGATGGGCCTCACATGGCAACAGAGGAAAACAGCAGAGGACAAGATCCTCATTGGCAGTACCACTGTGCACTTTTTTATCTTTTAAAATAGCGTCTCTATGGAGCCAGGCTGGCCCAAATCCTTAATCACCCTGCTTCTGCCTTTGAGTGCTGGGATTATAGGTTGCATCACCACGCCTGGTTTATACTTAGGTAATATAAAAAATATATAAAACAATATGTGTGCATATTATGTATGCACTCATATGTAGAAAAAAGTATGAAAACTAAATAGGGGCCATGAGAAAGTTCAACAGATAAAGGTGCTTGCCACCAAGTCTTAGCTTGCCACCTTAGCTGAGTCGCTGGGATTCACATGGTGGAAGGGGAGAACCAGTTCCTGTAAAGTTGTCCTCTGACCTTTACACGTGTCCCAAGGCACATATGCATGTGTGAACATAACCATGTAACTACATAACCTTATAACCGCACACACACACACACACACACACACACACACACACACACGCACGCACACAACTAAATAAATCAATTTTAAGATTATAAAACCTAGATGGGATCCAGGTGTGATGGTATATACCTCTTATTCAAGATGCTGAACTGAGAAGCTTATGAGACTCCACCCCTCCCTGAGAATCTTAGGCAGGTTAATGGTTACTATGAGAGAGAGAAAGAGAGAGAGAGAGAGAGGAGAGAGAGAGAGTTCTTCTTCAGTGTTATAGTCACAAGCAGCTGCCCATACTCCTGTCAATAACCCTTCACCCAAGCTCTTGTTAGCAGCCCTAATTGAACTCATTGGGTTGAAAAATAAAAAGACATGAAAGTGGAAGGATGCCTAGCTGGGAAGAGGAGGGAATCAACAGGAAGGGACAAGAGAGAGTCATGGGGTGGATATAATCAAAATGCATTTTATACTTGTATGCAAATGTCATAACAAAACTCATCCTTATGTATACTTCCTGTGTGTTCATAAAAGGTTGATGAAGGAGCTGACCATCTTTTTTGTACTCTACCCTGCTTTTCGAGACACGCAGGAGGGAATAAATCCCTGTAACATGACTTCACTCTGGACAAGGAGTGAGACAGCAGACTAGACAAATAAGTGAAATACACAGATTATTTAATGGCAATACATACCAAGAAAGAAACAGGAAACAGGGTTGCTGGGAGGGTTCACTGGTAGAATGCTTCCCTAACTGAGCCTGGCTTCAGTTCCTAGCACTGCAAGAAAACACACACACACACACACACACACACACACACACACACACACGGAGCTAGAGAGATGGCTCAGTGGTTAAGAGCTCTGGTTGCCCTTCTAAAGGACCTGGGTTCAATTACCAGCACCCACGTGGCAGTTCCCAATTGTCTGTAGCTCCAGTTTCAGGGTATTTGGCACCGTCAGACAGACACTCATACAAGCAAAACCCAATGTACATTTTTTTTAAAAAAAAATTCTTAAAAAAAATAATAGCCAGGCATGGTGGCACACTTCTTTAATCCCAACACTCAGGAGGCAGAGACAGGTGAATCTCTATGAGTTCGAGCCAGCCTGGTCTACAAGAGTAAGCTCCAAGGATAGGCTCCAAAGCTACAGAGAAACCCTGTCTTGAAAATAAAACAAAACAAATAATAATAATCATAAAAAGAAAACACACTCACACACACGGTGGGTGGAGGGCACTGTAAAGAGCTATGGTAAACAAAGAAGAAACAGCAGAGGCTGGCAGGGGAACCAAGAGCTGTGTCGCGTCTAAAGGACTTTGAGCAGGACAATGACATGATGGGCTGTCAGCAGGCTCACTCAAGTGCTGGGCAGCATTCGGAGAGAGTGAGACAGGTCAAGAGGACAGCAACAAACAGAGGCATGTGAATCTAGGCAGGAGATGGTAGTGGCTCACGCCAGGTGCCACCACAAGGGTGAATCCTGTGGGAGGAAGGGTAGGCAGGAGCTCCACGGGCCAGCTAGCCGAGTGGCCGCCAAACACTTAACACTGGAGTCCAGGTGAGTAACCCTGGCTGTAAGGCCACCGTGGGAGTCACCAGCACATCCCTGCTATTTACAGACATGAAATGTGGCACTTCGTCCCTTCCAATGAAAGGATCTGAAGCCAAGAGGACGGCGTCGGCGTCTTGCTCATTCTGGGTGGTAACTGTGACGGTGCTGGAAATGCTGTCCCTTTTGCTTTTTGAGTGTGTGTGAACTTTTCTCCAATAAAAAATGAATTAATAAACACTCTGTAATGTCATGCTGCTCCAGATTGCTAAAGTACCCTGTCATAAGTACTAAAGTGTGGGTGCTGGCAGTGAGTTCTGGGAGCTAGGTGCAGATGCCTCCTCCTACCAGCCCAGGTCAGCTGGTCTCTTTGGGCTTCCATGTCCTCAGCTGGCAACTAGCAGCTGGCCCCTGCTTTCTAGGGGCTCCTCTAGAGCTGGATGCATAAGATCAGGTGGTCGGCACACAGCTCCTGCTTGCTCTGACTGTATCCCCTACAGCGCACGCCTCGTCCTACACAGAAGGTCTGACAAACCCACTATCAGGGCTCTCTGCAGAAGGCAAACTCAGCCTCCCAAAAGATAGACACTACAGTTAGGAGGGCCAGGTATGGTAGCACATACCTGTAAACCCAGCATTCAAGAAGCTGAGGCAGGAGATCACAAGGTTGAGGTATAAAAAAGGAAAAGGAGTCTAGGGTTGGGGGATGATCTAGTGGCAAGAGTGCTTGCTGTGTAAGTGTGAGGACACAAGTTCAAATCCTCAGCACCCACATAAAAAGCTGGGCGATTGGGCTGGACACAGTGGTGAATGCTTTAACTCCAGCACTTAGGATGCAGAGACAGGAAGATCTCTGTGAGTTTAAGGCCAGCCTGGTCTACATAGCAAGCCCCAGGACAGCCGGAGCTACATAGAGAGACCCTATCTCAAAACAAGAACAATGAGAAGCTGGACTACATATACCTGGAACCCCAAAACTATGGGGCAGAGATAGGCAGAACCCAGAGCTCTCTGAAGAACCAGTCAAGCAAGAAGGGTGAGTTATCTATTCACAGAGACCCTGCCCTGAGGCAACAGAGTGGGAAGCAACAGAGGAAGCTGCCCAGTGGCTCCACATGCATGCTCACAGGCATACAGCTCCAAATACTCACATGCATGTACTGCACACAACACCCTAAACAATGGAAAGAAGGGAGGAAGAGAGGGAAGGGAGGAAGGGAGGGAAGGAAGGAAGGAAGAAGGAGGAGGGAATGAGGGAAGAAGGAAGGAAGGAAGGAAGAAAGGAAGGAAGGAAAAGAGGGAGGGAGGGAGGAAGGGAGGGAAGGGAAGAAGGAAGGAAGGAAGGACGGACGGACGGACGGACGGAAGGAAGGAAGGAAGGAAGGAAGGAAGGAAGGAAGGAAGGAAGGGAAAAAATAAAAGAACTTGTAGTTAGGAGAGTTAGAAAGAACTATATTCCATGGTCTCCAAACTAGGGTCCTCAGACTAGGCTGAGCTTAAAAGCAGGTATCAAAGAGACTCAAACTCCATGAGATAAATTACTCATGGTATCCTGATCAGAATCTAAGGATGAGTCTGAAACATACAAGCACATGGGGAAAGGCTGGGAATGTGGCTCAGTGGTTGAGTACTTGCCTAGCATGCCCAAGGCCTTGAGGCCTTGAGTTCCATTCGTAGCCCTCCCCTCCATGGGTGGCTGGACCAACTGCCAAATCATATAGGCAGGCAGTAATGATGCTACTAATGGTCATTATGTTAATTTGTAGTTTTGTTCTGAACAGAGCGCTTGGTAGGCTGCTTCCTGTTCTCTCATTTAACCTTCATGACAGAAGTTATAGGGTTAGCATTTGCATGAGTCAGACATCCATTGGGAAACCGAGGCTCAGAGATGTCATGTTCTAAATCATATAGCAAAGAAGGAGAAAAGCTGGGATTTGAACCCTTGCAGTGGGACTCTGCTCTCAAGCTCTTCCTGGTGAGCAGAGTTACTCTATGGATATCTGAACAAAAGCAAGAGAAGACCACTTGGAGGCAGTTCTATTTGTTGGGCCATTTAGTCATCATCGACCATGAATATTTATTAAGTAACTACTGTGCAGAAGTACTCCGTGCGCCTGGGCACGGCAACAGGAAGTTTAAGAAACCACAGCCTCTGCCCTGAGAAGCTTGTGGTCTAGAGAAGCCAGTTTACCTGCAGCATAATAAAACTGCTGGCTCCAGCCTGCTCCTGGGAAGAAGCACATCAAGAGGGTCCAGCAAGCCAGGTAGGGTGGCTCAGGCCTGTGATGTCAGGACTCTGGAAGATCGCAGGTTCCACATCAGCCTAGTGAGCATTGGGAGATTCCATCTGCCACACAAATGTTCGAACAATAAAAGAGAATCAGAGATGGTGTTCCATGCCTCTAACTCCAGGAAGCTTGAGGTCAATTGATTGCTGTGAGTCTGAGGCCAGGCTGTAATGCAGAGCAAGTACCAGGCCAATAAGGCTACATAGGAAGACTGTGTCTGAAGGAAGGAAAAAAGAAAGAGGAAAGAAAGGCGGCGCGGGGGGGGGGCGCAGCAAGATAGTTCAGTGGGTAAGGAAACTTGCAGTCAAGCCTGATGATCTGAGTTCAATACCTAGTTCCCACAGGATAGGAGAGAACCAACCCCCGGAAGTTATCCTCTGACCTCCACATATGTGCACGCATGCGCACATACAATTAAATGCAGGAACTGGAGAAACTAGGAAAGCACACGGGGACCCTTGCAGGATAGGGGTTTGGGGATCAATAGAGAAGGGAATAGTTGGACACAAGTGATCTGTTAGAAGAAATGGGAAAGAGGGGTGCTCCTTAGGGGGGCAGAGGGAGGTGAGTACAGGAGGTGGGAAGGCGAAAGGGAGTAACAGAATACAAATGATCTGATGGGGAACTGGGAAAGGGGGTTCTTTAGGGAAGGAGCAGGGAGACAAACGCAGAAGAAGGATGGAGTAGGTAAAACAACAATAGGGATGTCTGACAAAGCCACAAGGAATCATACTATTATTTACCCTAAAAAAAAACCTATAATACACATTATTCTGTGTATTAAACATACATATATAATTCAAATGAACCTTTCTCATCTGGGCTGACAGCACTCCATCTAAGAGCCAAACACCACCTAACAAGGCCACAAAACCAGCCATGAGAAGGCCTCTTTTGAGTTGTTGGCCAGGGCTATCCATGAAAGTACATACAGCCAGTTGATGTTGCCCTTGGCTACCTCCAAGACGTGGAAGGTAAAGTCTTATTACTGAAGACACCATGCACTTCAGAAAGAGAACCCAGAGACCTCTGAACTAAAACGGACCTGAATGTTCCCTCCCTGAAGACTAGCAGAAGGCACAGTGTAAGCTTCCAAAGGAAGGAGGCACCCAGCAGTCCTACCCTATGGTACCTATGAGCCACACCAACGATACCCCCACTGGGGCAGGAGCTGCATGCGTACCTTAGTGGTACCCAGCAGCTCTCTAATCAGATTTCAGAGCTGCTAAACCAAAGGGAAACCAGGCCTGGATCTGGAACCTAGCTAACTGATCAATGCTAGTGAAATTATGGTTACTGGAGAGGAATCTGCATCCACTGATTTATTAAATCAGCACAGTCTCTAACAACAATCTATAAATGTGTCTTTATACTCACAGATAAGTGTCGTCTTCACCCCTCAAGGGAAACTTCTCTTTGCAATAGACAGAGACGGCTACAGAAAAGTAAAACTAATAGAAAGGTAGAGCTGTGGAGCCCGGTCCCAGTGGATACATCCACAAAACCCTCCAGAGCCTAAGGCTCGGGGATCGTGGAAGAAGAGGCATAAAGGTTGGAAGAGCCAGGGGATCAGAGAATTTGAAGGGAGATTGTCTTCTAGTAACATCAGAAGCTATACACATTAAGCCTTATGAACACAAACTGAACAAGAATGGCCACAATAGATACACCAAACTAGATGGGGAAACGCCCGTGAGGCTTCAGTTTACACAGAGAACTGTAGGAGACTGAGGAAAGCTAGGAGCAGAAGAGATTATCTTTCCCAGGGAAGAGCACACCAGTTGGTTGTCCAATGCCAAAAGCTCAGCTCTGAAAACACGCATGCAAGTAACATTATACGAACTGAACAGGTTATACTTAGGAATATATAGGAATGTACTTATACAGCTCTGTATACAATAACAACTAGTGAAAAAAGAGGCCATGGATTTAAGGGCAAGTGGGGGGTGGGTATGTGAGGGAGAAAACAAAGAGAAAAATGCTATATTATCATCTTGAAATTTTAAAAATTAAGATAAATGACAAAAACAGAAGAAAAAGAAGGAAGGAAGAAGGGGGAGGGAGGAAAAGATAAACAGGTCTTTCATAGAGAACCAGGAAGGGCAAACACAGGGATGGACTAATGTTAAGATACTAAACCTTTCCCTGGTATAATGGCATGATGGAACCCCCAGCCTAGGCCAGAGTCCCAGACACTCCTGTAGCATTTTTGCTACAAACAGCATATGGTTTACTTTTACCTGCAAGGGAAAAGAAGTCAGAACCTAGTCACCTCGTGGTGTAGAAGAGGTGGCACCAGACACTCCTTTCAAACACTCCCTTTCATTGTTGGCAGAGAACTGTGTGAATGTACTTAGGCATGAAGCAGCAGTCATTTCTGCGGCTGTGTAAAACAGGAGCTACTGGGGCTGGAGAGATGGCTCAGAGGTTAAGAGCACTGCACACATCTGCAACCCCGGCATTTTGGGGCAGGTGGATTCAGGGTTTGAGGATAGCCAGGGCCATTGCAGACCCTGTGGCAAAATGCTGTATAGTTACATGAACTTCCCACCCTATGAGAAAGTCTAGAACTTAACCTTCAGATTTCAGAGGCTCCAGGAATTCCATAAGATTAAAGCTTCACTTCTCCAAATACATGTTTATTTCTTTAAAAAATTTACATGTATTCATTATTTTTTGTGTGTCAGGAGATATGTACCATGGCCCAGATGTGGAAGTCCGCAGGAGTCAGCTGTCTATTTCCATGGGGTCCAAGGCTCAAACTCAGATCCTCAGGCTTGGCAGCAAGCGCCATCTTGCCAGCCTGACCTGTAATTCTGTGTTAAATTAAACACAGAATTAAATTTTACAGGGTTAAAGCTATGCTTTTAGTCGTTTAATATGATTTAATAAAATCACCTCAGGGTGGATTTGTTCCCTATCACTACCCTCCAGCAGGAGCTGAAAGCCAGAGAAAGGGCAGAGAAGTGAACAAGCCTGGTATATCTCTCTCGGGCCCTGGATCAGCCTTGTTCAGCCTGGGCTAGGCCAGCAAGTGTTGCATAGTGTTTCAACCTGCATAGCCCAGAAATTGGGAAATATTGAAATATTAAGGGATTAGGTTTTAACATTGTCATTCAGTTGGCCTTGAGCAACAACACACTGTCATTCATCCGAAGAGGAAACAGTTGCTGGCACAGGTGGTGAAGAGCTAAAAGAGATGGCCTGGAAGAGCATGCCTTCCCATCTCTGGGCTTGTTCCATGGGCCAGGCCCTTGACAGCCTTGATACCTGCTAGATGTGGGGAACACGGTGTCATGGACTGGGATGAGCTCCCAGTGCAGGTCCAGGAAGGCTGTGAGCAGCCCCAAGCAGGCATGTTCCTGAGCTGAGCTGCTCTCCCGACAATCTCGACCATGAGCTCTGGTTTTAATCAGCACAGAAAGCCCCAACACTCAGCCCAGAGCAGGCTCTTGGAAAGCAGAGAGTGAAAACGTGCCCGCTACTCGACTACGGATGCCTTCAGGGACCACCTCTGCACCCCCACGTCATTATCACTACTTCTTCTTCCTTGGTACCTGCCCTTCTGATGCCCATGATGTGAAGTCTTCTCCCCACTAGATATTCTCAGTTCTAGTATCCTGGGTCAGGATGGGACTCGACTGATGGAGGCAAGCTGAGAACCGGGAGGAAGTTGGAGCCGGGGTGCATGCTGTCTCTTTACTGAATGCTACAGCCACATGAAGGGGACTCAAACACTATTCCGGCATTCATTAGTTCACTTTCTAGTTCATGTCTGCAGTCATTTGTTATTTCTTAGGACTTATCCATCCATTCATTCTTTTGTGCATTCCATATCCACAAACCCTTGTACAAGACACTGAGCAGGTATGGAGATGCTTTAGCACATGAACAACCATATAGCCGAGAGAATCGCATGGGATGTGTGCACACATCTTACCAACGGACACACATGAGCATACACACACACACACACACACACACACACAGGGAAAGAGAGAGAGAGAGAGAGAGAGAGAGAGAGAGAGAGAGAGAGAAAGGGAATTCACTGGTTCACTGTAGCAGTTCACTGCAGCTATGGGCATCCTATCATCTATGTGGAATTTTGCATCCCACTGAAAGGTAGGTGACTGTCTTATCAAAGAACAGGGTTGGAATGGAAGTTGGGGCTGGTTAAGTGCCCCTGCCAGGTCTTCTCTTGCTTCTTCCACTCCATGTTGGTCTAAAAGGAAAGGTTCCAAGTCTGGGTGGGCACATTCCCCTGATTTTCCACCTTCTCATCCATGGTAAGGCTTTGAGGAACAGCCATGCAAGAGAAGGAAGATCTGAGTTTGGGCAGGAGTGTCTCTGTAGAGCTGGAACAGAGCTGCAGGTAACTCTGTGTAGTGGGATGTGCGTGGCTAACAACCTGAGCACTGAGAGTCACTGGAACCGCACACTGCTTCCTCGACACGCCCGCTGGCAGGTAAGCAGGCAGGGCTCTCACAAAGGGCTTGACCTGCCCTGTGCCCTCAGCCACCTGCCTTCCCCACCTCCTAGCCCCGAGCATCTTTCTGGGCTGTGTGCAGGGCGTCTGGCCCCAGGGAGAGGTGGGGTGAGCTGCAGTCCACACCTACGCAACTATAAAGAGGGAGCCTCCAGCTGCTGCTGCCTCAGCCTCCCTGTCTCAGCCACTCACACACCTGGACCATGGACCCTGGGGAATGCACATGTATGTCTGGTGAGTAAGGAGGCCTACTGGGGGTCCTACAACTTTGTCCTTGTGTTCTGCAGGCAGGATGTGGGACTATTGGAAACTTTTTCACTTAGGCGCCGTGGTTGAGGTTTGTCCTGGATCTGCAACCTTTGGGCAGCTCCCACTCTGTTGGCTTCCAGCCAGATTTGCTGAAACTGATACACTGGTCCAGGAAATAGCAAGGGAAGAATTTGAAAACAGTCTTTCTAGCTGTAGATCCCTAGTTGGCAGCCACCAGAGTAGGGAATGGAGCGATGGCCCAGAACCTGGACACTTGGTTTTGGTCCTCTGTTGTCATTCATTTACTAACACATTTGATTTATAGGCCTCAGTTTCCACATTTGCAAACTGAGGTTACTCATTCTGGGTTGCTTGCCTACTAGGGAATCTATGGAGGGGCTAAAATTACCAATCCTTGCATACACCAGGACTTAAAGGCTTAGCTGCGACCTCAAGTCAGTAAAATCCAGCTGTGGTACTCACCTGTGATTCTAGAACTCAGCAGGCTAAGGTGTGTGTGTATGGGAATCCCGAATTCAAAGCCAATCTAGGTTGCTTAGTGCCAGGAAGTATGTTGGCCAGAAGGAGGGAGATCAGGCTTCAGAACCATCCTGGGCTTTCTCAGCCTTGAAAAGTGCCATCTAAAATTTTCAAGAGCATCCTTCACCCTTAACAGCACAGATCTGTCCCCCAAACCTGGAAAAGATGCAGACAGTTCTAGTGTTCTGAACCTGAACATGATGGATGGTATGAGTTTAGAAAGATACATAAGTACGAGTCATTTTTATTAAACAAAGGCAAGGTATTGTCTCCCCCTACCCCATTCCTGTGTTCCTTTCTGCTTTCCATCCGGGGTTTCTGTCTGGCCTTGTCAAAACGAGGCTGTGAAAGTCCTTGCTGGTTGCCACAGGCACCTTGGCCTTGCTGGGGTTGGCCTTGTCTGTTAGGCCTCAAGCCTGATCGGACATCAGTACCTGATGTGTTGTGTTTTTAAACTACTGATTCTTTCCCTACACAGAGTTACCAAGGGTTCTGTTGCAAGGGTTGTGGTCAGGAAGATGCACTTCCACAAGTAACCCGGGTTGAGCTGATGCTGCCACCCCAGTCCCTATCCATGGCCTGTCTCTAGAACCACTGGACCATCCACAGCACTGGGGTCACCTTCTTGTCTCACCACTCTCCAAGATCAATAGCCTGGTGTTCACCCAGTCTCTGCCCTCTCTTCTAGGAGGGATCTGCATCTGCGGGGACAATTGCAAATGCACAACCTGCAAGTGTAAAACCTGCCACAAAAGTGAGTATGGGCACCAGGACTCTGCCAGGTGGGAGTAGGAACAGCCCCGCCCTTCGCTCTCCCTATCCACCCCAACTGGGCAGTGGAGGGATTCTGGCAACCTTTTTCTCATCGGGAGGGAATCTGAGATAACATTCAAGTAGATACCTGGGGCAGATATACCCTGGGCTGCAGTCCACGAGGCAGTAAGGATATCCATGGCATTTGGAGCAGCAAGGGGGTTGGGAATAGGTTCTGTCCAGTCTAGTGAGGAAGAAGGAAAAGCCTGGGCCTGGCCTCATGAGCCCTGACTTCTAATCATATTTCTATTGTGGCTGTGATCTTTGAAATGCCCACCCCTTGTCTGGGGCTCTGATGGCCCTGGAGAACCCTCTGAGGTTCCTTCTGTTCTCAAATCGCACAGTGTCCCATCTCTCGACCCAGGGATTCCCCGCTATAGGTGTCTCATTTCCTAGGTCTTCTAAGGGGTAGGAGAGACAGGGAAGTGAAGAGCCATGGCTCACCTGTCCATCGCCTAACCTTTTCAGGCTGCTGTCCTTGCTGCCCTCCAGGCTGTGCCAAGTGTGCCCGGGGCTGTATCTGCAAAGGGGGCTCAGACAAGTGCAGCTGCTGCCCCTGAAATTCACCCACGGCGCTGGGAGAGATCCTGGGAAGTGGCTGCACAGTGCCTGCGTCAAAGGATTGAATTTGTATAATAAGTTGTGCCTTTTATATATGTGCCTAAGTGCGGTGCCAGTGACGTTCATGTAAAGGTCTTGAAGCAATAAAGTTTTCATGGCTATCCAGTGGCTCAGAGCATTGTTTAACCCTAATCCTAGCCCAGAAGGACCAAGAAGGGCTGGCTCTATTGCAAATCCTTGAGCTGCCGGCCAACTGGAACCCCATCGGCAGGCGTCTGCTCACGCTGCTTACTTCAAGGTACTGCCAGCACCTGAGGCTTCCTCCCACTTTACAAACACAGGGAGTTCAGGGCCCTGGGAAAAGTTCCTAACCAATGCCAAGCAGGACCCAAAACTGGTAGATGAATAGTCAGCCTTTCTACACTATCTTTCAGAAGTCTTCTGTGGTGCTGAGCTCCGGTAGCTCATAGCTTACACACTCACTAAACTATGTAGGCTTCTCCTCCTTATCCCATGTCCCACTCTCAGCCAGTGCTTGCTGGGATCCCCACCCAATGAAACCCGTTGAGTGAAGGGTCTTTCTTGGTGCAAGCTGTCTTAGCCTGACTGTCCCGGCCTACCCATGATTAGGTGAACTCATTCACTGAGGAAAAAAAGCTACTGGTCCTGAGCTCAGGAACAGAACCTGTGTCTAAAACCCATCCCCAGCACTAATACAACAAGAATTATTTGGGCCAGGTCAAGCCCCTGACTAGTCACTCTGCAAGGAGAACACTCCACAGTCCCTGTCAAGGACAGGGTGTTGGTAGTTACACCCTTCAGGGGGCAAAGTAGGCTTCTCTGGCAAGTAGGCTGCCTGTTCTTTTTGCCGCCAAGGTCTCCTCACCTTGTCCAAAGGCCCACGGGGTTAGGGTGACAGGCACACACACTGGCAAGGAGAAACTGATGCAGAGGAAATCAATGACCTCCCAGAGACTTAAGACTTAAGATTTAGCTTTTTAGATGGATGGCTAAGAAGGCTGAACTACCTGCAGATGTCACTGGGGACAGAATGCCACTATCTGTCGTTCACAACGCAGCACCAGGCAATCCAGTCCCTAAGAGGCCTTGCATTTATGCCACCTAGAGCCACAGCTAAGGCCTTCTTCTCCACAGTCACTGGGCACAGGGCCGTGAGAATGGAATCTTGCCCAAGGGTCCCAGCAAGGAGGAGCAGAATAAACTTCAAATTCCCTGGAGCTGAACACTGTCCTAATCCTCCTGCAAACAGGGCTGCTTAGAAATCACTGGGAGTCTCCTGGGAAGGCTTGCAGGCTCCACCCTAGAGGGAGTCACGCCGCCGAATCAGCATCTTAGAACAATGGAAGAGGTGTGGTCTTTGGCACCAGAGAGCTGTTCTGGTCTGCCTTAACCAAGTCATTCACCCTCTCTAGGCACCAACTCCCCCTCTGTCCCCTGGCAAGTCCCCTCTTGGGGATACACAGAGACTGCTGGAGAATGTTTATGTACAGGTTAGGTTACCCGTAAACAGGGTTTTCTGTGTGGACACGACTGCTTTTGGTTTCTGTTTATTAATCTCTGAGAAAGCCCCTGACTAGTCACTCTGTAAGGAGAAAACTCCACAGAGCCTGTCAAGTGCACCTGTCAAGGGTGTTGGTAGTTACACCCTTCAGGGGGCAAAGTAGGCTTCTCTGGCAGGTAGGCTGCCTGTTCTTTTTGCCGCCAAGGTCTCCTCACCTTGTCCAAAGGCCAACAGGGTAGACATATCTATCTCTTCTATTTCTAACACACCTCTGAAGGGGATGATCAGCCCTCCGATTCTCATTCTGACAGTAGTAACACCCGGGTGTAGTGTGGCTGCTTACATGGACTGAACATTTAATGTGTCCATCTCTGTGTGGAATAGTTTTAGAACTTGAGTACCTGCCTCAGAGGGGCCCTCGCTGGTTACCCTCCCCATAGAGTAAGCGTCTGAACCAGTGCCATGACTCAGTGGATAAAGCACTTGCCACATAAGCCTGGTGACCCAAGTTTGCTCACCAGAACCCACATAAAGGTGCGAGGAGACTGCTGACTCCACAGATCTCCACACATGTGCCACAGTCATGCACACATACCATACTGTAACACACACACACACACACACACACACACACACACACACACACACCACAATACAGACAGGCAGACTTTTTTTTTTGCTTTGTCTTGTTTTGTTTTTAAAGCATCAATGGGGGTTAAATGTAGTAATAAACACCCACATACCTGTAATCCCAGAACTCTGGAAGGTAGAGACAGGTCAATCTCTGTGAGTTCCAGGTTAGTCTAACATGGCAAATTCCAGGTCAGCCAGGGCTACATAGTAAGACCTTATCTTAAGGGAAAAAAAGGAGAGTCAGGCAGTGATGGTGCACGCCTTTAATCCCAGCACTCAGAAGGCAAAGGCAGGTGAATCTCTGTGAGTTCAAAGCCAGCCTGGTCTACAAGAGCTAGTTACAGGACAGGCCTCAAAGCTACTGAGAAACCCTGTCTCAAAAAACCGAAAGAAGTCCATGGGTCCAAAGTAGATTTTGTGGGTGTCCAAAAGGGATTCATCCATTCCCCACCCTTCCTCCTAAGTTCCTTTCCCACCTTCTGGATAATATTTTGATCACCTGGAACCTTAGGGCCCAAATTCAAATTCAGGTCTGTTTATGACCTCGTCCTCACATCTGACCTTCCTGAGGGTAGAGCCTGCCAGGCAGTCAGTCTCTGGAAACCTAGGCCTGCAGGATGGCCAAGGGTGGCTGTTCTCAGGGATGAGGATGAGGGAGTGTGGAAAGGCCTCAGAAACAGGAGTTCTGATGTCCACATGTAGCCGAACAAGTTAGGGCAGAAGGAAAGAGGCACCGGATGCAGTCAAGGCTCCCTTTGAGCTTTTGCCCTGCCCCCCACAAATGCTAGGGGGTAATCTGCACTGACAGCCTGTGGTAGCTCCAATGTAATTGACCCCCAGCATCTCATAGGGCGTGGCACTATTATTATTAGGAGGTGTGGCTTTGTTGGAGTGGGTGTGGCCTTGTAAGAGGAAGTGTGTCACTGTGGGGCAGACTTTGAGGTTTTCTATGCTCAGGATACCACCCAGTGTTTCCATCGACTTCCTGCTGCCTGTAAGATGTAGGACTCTCAGCTACTTCTCCAGCACCATGTCTGCCTGTGTGCCGCCATCCTCCCTGCCATGATGCTATTGGACTGAACCTCTGAACTGTAAACCACCACCTCAATTAAATGCCTTCCTTTATAAGAGTTGCCATGGTCACGGTGTCTCTTCACAGTAACAGAAACCCTAACTAAGACTCAGCCCTAGAGAAGAATTCTGCTATGACACCCACTTTCCAGATGAGAAAACTGAGACTTGAGGCAGGCAGTGGCTGGCTCCCACTTGCGAAGGGCGGGACAGGGACTCGGTGTGGTCTGCTTGACTCAGGTTAATTCTTGCCTGTGCTTTACAGAAGGCTCAGAGAAAAGACAGAGGGCAATGCCACACGAGGGGTCCCCGCATGGCCTGGTGCTTTAGAAAACCCCCATATCACAACCCACAAACCTTATATTTGCTGTATGGTACCAGGCAGCCTCCATCACTTGGGAGCTGGTATTTGTTTGGCACTGTGTGATCAAACAACCCTAACCTCTGCTCCATTGCCTAACGCCGTTCAGGCCCCAGGAAGACACTCCTCTACCTACTGACCTGTGTCCTCAAAACAAAAACGTGATCTTTGAGTGTCAGTATGGTTCGCAAATTGTTCAGATACCAGTGAGAGAGAGAGAGAGAGAGAGACGAGACAGAGAGAGACCATTTTCAGAGTGCAGGAAGGATGTGAGTGGCAGAAACAAGAGATGAGAATTAACGAACCCATCTGTTTCTGTTTCTCACAAACAAGTCTGCTATTGATTATCGTGGTGGTTTGGATGAGAATGGCCCCTCTAGAGGCTCATATAGTTCAATATTTGGTCCCCAGCTGGTGGAATGGATTGAGGGAAGATTATAAGGGGTGGCCTTGTTGGAGGAGATAACTGGGGTAGGCTTTGTGGTCCACATCAATCCCTGCATCTCTTTCTCTGCCTGGTGGTTGTATCCCAAGATGTGCGCTCCCAGCTGCAGCTTCAGTGTCACGCCTGCTTGCTTGCTGCCATGCTCCCCGCCATGATGGCCATGGACTCTCACCCTCTGAAAATTCAAGCCCCAAATAAACTCCCTGCTAGAAGTTGCCTTGGTCACGGTGTCAATCAGAACAATAGAAAAGCAAGTAGGACAATTACCACATCTCATACGATGTCCCCCTTTTCCTTTGCGTTCTGAGAATGTTTATGAGTGTATGATAGCCGCAGAAGTTGCACAGGAATATTCGTAATGCTAAGCAGGCCACATTATTCATATATTTTCATTATTTGTAAATATGTGCATATTTGCATGCTGTGGAAAGAATGTTTGTGGCGAGGTGGTGGTGATGCACGCCTTTAATCCCAGCACTCAGGGGGCAGAGACAGGAGGATCTCTGTGAATTCGAGACCAGCCTGGTTTACAAAGTGAGTTTCAGGAAATGTTCCAAAACTACAGAGAAAAACCCTGTCTCCAAAAAACAACAACAACAACAACAACAAAAAAAAAACAGTGGGACTCAGAATTTAAATAAGTCCCCAGGGTGATGGTACTTAGAGGTAGGGATGTCAGAAATTCAAGAGGTGATGAGGCCACATGGGGCCATCATGATGAGATCAGTGCCTGTCTACTATAAACAACAACAACAAAAAGTGGGTAGTAGGGACTAAAAGTTTCCAAAATCAATAGAAAAAATTGTAAAATTAAATAAATAACCTGAAGAAACTGGGACCAAGGTGCTGACATAGTGTCTGGTGAAGGCCTAACGCCCTTATTTGTGTATGATCATTCTCCTTACGTGTGCTGCCCACACGGCAGCTCTACAGCAAGATCCGTCCATTATCCTTCCAGTTTCTGCCTCTCCCCCCTCCTCTGCTCTCCCACCTGACCCTTAACTGCTCCAAACAAACCCAGAGCACCTAGAAATCCTCCATAGATTCTTCTGCTGCTCCATTTGCACTGTGACGTCCCCTGCTTCCTGTTTACTCATAAATGTCATCTGACCTATTTTGGCATGACA